TGGATATTGTCAAATTTTTTTCTGCATCAATTATAATGACCCTTTGGTTCCCTATATTCTGTTAATCTTGTGAATCACATTGGTTAATTTTCAAATGTTAAACCAACCCTGTATTACTAAGATAATACATAGTAGATCACTAGATATGTTATCTTTTTTATGTCACTGGATTTGTTAATATTTTGTTAAAAAATATTTGGTTTATGTCATTGGTTTGTTAATATTTTGTTAAAAAATATTTGATTGTCTTCATATTTTTCTGAAATTTCTTTGTCAGGTTTTTTACTAGAGTTACTGATCTCATAAAATAAGTTAGGCTGTTTACTCTCCTTTATTTTTTAAAAGTTTGCATAGAACTTAGTGAAGTTTGATAGAACTTCGTAATGAAACCATTAAGATTTGCTTTGAAGGGAAGAACTTTTTGCTCCATGTTTATTTTCATTAGTAAATACAGAACTTACTGATTTTCTTTTTCTTCTTGTGTCAATTTTGCTACTTAAACTTTCAAGAAATACAGTATAATATATCCATTTCATCTAAACTGTGAAATTTGTAGGCATAAAGTCTTTCATAGTATATTATTATCCTTTCAATGTCTGTAGAATGAGAAGTAATGACCCTTTTCATTCTTGATAGTGACATTTTAAATATTTGATATTTCAACTCTCTGATGTTTGGATTTTTTTTAGCATTCCATTTTATCCTTTTTTTTTTTTTTTTTTTTGGCTATTTCTTTCCATCATTTTTTAGTGGTTGCTCTATAGATTGCAATACATATAACTAACCTTCCACAGACTACTTAAATATTGTACTGCTTCATATAAAAATGTAGAAAACTTGCAACCACATAGGTCCCTTTGCCCTACATACAACCTTCATATGGTAGTTGTCATAAGTGTAACATTTACATACATTGAAAACCCGACAGATAATGTTATATAATATTTGTTTTCCATATTCAGCCACATTTTAAAGAACTTAAAAGGAAAAAAATAATAGTGTTTTATATTCACCCTAATGTTTAACATTCCTTTTGTTCTTCCTTCTATCCTGATAGTTCAGATTTCTTTCTGATACATTTACCTCCAACCTGAAATACTTCTAGCATTTCTGGTAAAGTGGGTCTGTTATCAATGAATTCTTAGTTTTCTTTTATCTGACAATGTTGTTACTCTGCCTTTATTCCTGTAAGATATTTTTGTTGTCTATAGAATTGTGGGTTGACAAAGACATCTTCTAGAATTTTGATTGGGAGTACATTAAATCTACCAGTCAATTTGGAAAGAATTGCCATCTTAATGAAAGATGTTATTTCACTTTATTCTGTCCCCCATCATTTCTTTTAAATAACCTCTGATTTTTGGAATTGTTTTCATATATAATGTGTAATTTTCATTATCTGCTTTTAATATTGTTTCTTTTCCTTGGATATTAACAGCTTGCTTATAATAAGTGTGGGGGTTTTCTCTTTGATTTTTATACTATTTGGAGTTCACAAAGATTTTTGACATGTAGATTTGTTTCTTTCAACTAAATTTGGGGATTTTTTCAGTCATTATTTCTTTAAACAGATTTTATGTCCTAGTGTCTTGCTCCTCTAATTCTGAGATGCCAATAACATATATTTTTTATTTTTTGATATTTTATGGGTCCCTGCAGTTCTGTTTACATTTTTCTATTTTTCTTTGTTTCCTTCATCTTGGATATTTTATATGCTGTATCTTCAAGTTTACTGAGTCTTCCCTCTGTCATCACCAGTATAGTTGAGCCTATGCAATGATTTTCTTTTTCATTTCAGAGAGTTTATTTTTAAGATTTAACATTTCTATAATGTTCCTTTTTATAGTTTCTATTTCTCTACTGAGGATGTCTGCTTTTGCATTTATTTTTATTTTAGGTGTGTTTTCCTTTATTTCATGGAGTTGTAATAGCTGCTTTACATCTGGTTATCATGATGTTGTCATTAGGTGATTGCTTTTCTCTCTAGAATTGATATTTTTCTTGTTCTTTGTGTGTCTAGCAATTTTGAATTGTGTCCTGAATATTATGAATATTATATTGTTTAGGCTTTAAGTCCCTGTTACATTTCTCTGGATATTGTTGATGTTGTTTTAGGAGACAATCAAACAGAGTCATTCATTGCTCAAGGTACTGCCAATGTTGCAAGACCAGTCTAATTTAAGTTAGACTTTACTTTTTTGGACCTCTTGAGTCATGTTTGATTTTTAGAGATGCATTCCAAAGGTAAATATATAAAACCATTTTATTTGGAAGAGAATCTAGTTTTTTATTGTTCCTCAGTTAGGAAAATTGAATTAAAAAGGAAAAAGCACCAAATAGACAACCTGCCTTCAGCAGGGATCACTCCTAGGAGAAGATGGTATGGATATATTCATTCAAAAAAATATTTCTTGAGAACCTACTAAGTGTTAAGTACTATTCTGAGCATTGGGAATACAGCTCTGAAGAACACTGATGGGCCCCATCCCCATCACTCTTACATTCTCAAGGGCTTAACACCTGCAATTGTCACCTTTCCCTCCTGCGTTACAGTTAACAATATTATTAGTATTTGCATATGTACATGTAATAGCCCTCATATTAAGGGAAAAACTGTTTTGACCTGAAACCCCCTTCTAGATACCTCTCCAGTTCTCTGTGCCCTTTTGCAGTAAACTGGTTCGAGATACTGAAACTCACTCTTTCCACTTCCTTTTTCATTCTCTTTGAACACACTCCAATTATGCTTTTGTGCTCACCACTCCACTGAAACTGCTGTGTGTTTCATAAATTCCATGTTGCCAAATCCAATGGCAATTCATAATCCTCATCTTTCTTCTCAGTAGCAGTTGACAGAATTGATTCCTATTCCTTCTTGAAAAGCTTTCCTCCCTTTGCTTCTAGGACACCAGCCTCTCTCTTGGTTTCCCTCCTGCCTCACTTGCTGCCCCTTCCCAATCTCCATTTTTCTATCCTTCTCCAAATGACAGAGCACTTTAGGACTTAGTCCTTGAACACCTTCTTTTTCTTCTCCGTGCTCACTCTCCAGCTGAAAGCATTCTCCAATGACATAGCTTCAAATATCATCTAAAAGCTCACAACTCTCAGACCTCTCCTCTGGCCTCCAGACTAACATACCCCACGGCCTACTCAACAGCTCTACCTGGTTATCTAATAGACATCTCTAACTCAACATGTCCAAAATCACCCATCCCCAATGTTGAATTAGTTTTTATTGCATTTGATAAAACACAGACACAAGAAAAACTAAGGAAAAAAATTACTTTAATTACATGGGAATTAAAAAACAAAAAACACCTCAAGAGATACAGAGGTAGACAATCTAGAATATGTATGGCAGTCATACTCATCAGGGACCCAGGCTCCTTATCTCTTGATGTGTTTCCAACTTTGATGTTTCCACTTATGTTAGAAGGAGGAATAAATGTAGGGATATTTCCCCTTTCCTTTAAAGAAACTTCCTAGAAATTTTAGACAAGTCTCCTGCTTACATCTCATTAGCCAGAACTTAGATTATAATGGCTGACTCTGCTACATTCTGTGAACCTGGTCCTTCCCCTCGTCATCCCCATTTCCATAAATGTCAGCTTCATCCTTCCAGTTGCTTAGGTCAGTATATGTCAGGGTCATCATGACCCTTTTTCTCTCCTATTCCACATCTTCTCTACAAGCAAATTCTACTGATTGTACCTTCAAAATATATCCTGACTCTGACAGCTTCTGACCAACTCTGCCACTTTCATCTTAGTGTAAGCGATGGCCTCTCTTTAACTTTTGAAATTGTCTCCTAACTGGTGGGCTCTCTGGTTCTGCCAGTCCATTCTCCATATAGTAGCGTATTGTGTGTGTGTGTGTTCAGATTGATTATTGAATGTTTTCCCCTCTAGAATTAGAGACTTGCTCTGGTTTGTTCACTGTGGTTTTCACTATCAGATCAGGGTGGTCAGGGCAGATGTCTCCAAGGAGAACATTTGAGCTATGAATGAATGAAGAGGAGTCAGCTATGCAAAAGTCTAGGAGTACACACCAGGCAAAGGGAACAGCTAAGTGGAAGGGCCCTACAGTGCAAATAATCTTGTCATGTTTAGGGAACTTTTCCTGCATTGGGGGACAATAAGAAGCTCCCTATGTCTAGAATATAGCAAATTATGGAGAGAGTAGAACGAGATGAAGTGGGAGAAAGAGACACAGCCAAATCATCTTGTAAGTTTTCCCTGACCCAGATGCAATAGAAAAAGTGTTGGGAAGCTCTATCAGGGCTGTTCAACCTTTTGGCATCTCTGAACCACACTGGAAGAAGAGTTGTCTTGGGCCACACATCAAATACATTGTGACACGTAATCACACACACACACAAATCTCATAATGTTTTAAGTAAATTTATGATGTTGTCTTGGGCCATTCACAGCCATCGTGGGCTGCAGGTTGTACACCCCTGCTAGATTATACTACAGTCTACTACTCAGTAACTACTAGCGGCACTCAGCTATTTAATTAACAAAAAGTAAATAAAATAAAATATTCAGCTTCTCAACCACACAAGCCACAGTGCAAGTGTTCAGTGGTCACTTGTGGACAATGACTACCTACTGAACAGCACAGCATGGATAGAGAATTTTCCATCATCACAGAAAGTCCTGTTGGACAGTGCTGCACTAGGAAAGTCAATCAAAGGAGAAGTGATACCATGTTGGCTTAGCCTCTCTCCTCTGTGGTTTTTCTCTTAACCTTAGAATCATTGTTTTTCTAGTAAAATGGAAATATATGTGGTGCCTAGAAAATTAGTATGTGGCCTGTTCCATATGCAAATATTCACGTGAGTGATTTTTACCTGTGACAGGAAAGACTGGTAAATCACAAGTATTCTTAACCTCATTATAAATAAATTGCAACTGTAAAAATACAAAGTGGAGAAGTCACTAATGTGAAAGTGACTTTCAATTTGTTTTAATAGGTGTTTTTTGTGTTTTATAATCTAGGGATCTTGCTGCAAGAAACTGCCTGGTAGGTGAAAATAATGTTCTGAAAATCAGCGACTTTGGAATGTCTCGTCAAGAGGATGGTGGAGTGTATTCATCTTCTGGGTTAAAGCAGATTCCCATTAAATGGACAGCACCAGAAGCTCTTAACTATGGTAAGACTGGACACTCTCTTTTTGGTGGTAGAAAATGGACTCCATCAGAATAAAACATTCACGAGCAAAATTAGAGGGGTACAGCAGAATCCAAGTTAGAATGATGTATAAATGTTCATAATTTGCACTTAAACATGAGCACCAACTTAACTCCTTAACTTTACTGATCAGATTTCTATATGCAAGGTTGCTAGATTTGAAAGATGGATATACTCACAAGCATTTTTAAATCTGAAAGTTCTTTTTTATCCAAAAATGATTTTTTTTTTTTACTTCTTTAAATTAAATTTATTGGGATGACATCGGTTAATAAGATTGTATAAGTTTCAAGTGTACAGTTCTGTAACACATCATCAGTATATTACATTGTGTGTTCACCACCCAAAGTCAAGTCTCCTTTTAACGCCGTATAACCCTCTTCATCATTCCTCCGCCCCCTTACTGCTCTGATCATCATCATACTATTGTCTGTGTCTATGAGTTTGTTTTATTTGTTCATTTGCTATTTTGAGTGAAGTCATATGGTTCTTCTTTTCCATAGACTTATTTCTCATATTATGATACTCTCAAGATCTGTCCATATTGTCGCAAAGGCTTTTTATGGCTGGGTAGTATTCCATTTTGTATATATGTACTACATCTTCTTTACCTAGTCATCCTTCAGAGGGCACTTAGCTTGTTTACATGCTGTGGCTACTGTGAATAATGCTACAGTGAACATAGGGGTACGTATGTCTTTCTGAATAAATGTTTTTAAATTTGGGGGGATAAATATACATAGGAAGGATTGCTGGGTCATATGCTAGCTCAATTAATTTGGAGGAACCTTTATACTGTTTTCCATGGAGGTTGTACGAGTTTACATTCCCACCAGCAGTGTACAAGGGTTCCTTCTTTCCTAGATCCTTGCCGAACTTATTTCTTCTCTTACAGATAATAGCCATTCTAACAGGTATGAAGTGGTATCTCATGGTGGTTTTGATTTGCATTTCCCTATAGCTAGTGAATTCAAGCATCTTTTCATATATCTATTGGCCACTTGTATATCTTCTTTGGAAAAGTATTCAGGTCCTCTGTCCATTTATTAATTGAATTGTTTGGTTTTTTTGTTGAGTTGTATGAGTTCTTTATATATTTTGGATATTAGCCGCTTATCAGAGGTATCATTTGCAAATATTTACTCCTATTTAGTTGGTTGCCTTTTAGTATTGTTGATGATTTCTTTAGCTGGGCAGATGGTTTTTAGTTTGATGCAGTCCGTTCATTTATTTTTGTTTTTACCTCCTTTGACTTTGGGATCAAGTTCACAAAAACTACTCTGAGACCAAGGTCTGTAAGTTTAGTACATATGTTTTCTTCTATGCAGTTTATTGTTTTAGGTCTTATAGGTAAGTTTTTAATCCATTTTAAGTCATTTTTTTGTGCATGGCATCAGATAGCAGTCTAGTTTCATTCTTTTGCATGTTGCTTTCCAGTTTTCCCAAAATATTTATTGAAGAGGCTTTTTTTTCTCAATTGTATGTTTTTAGCTTCTTTGCTGTAAATTAGTTGCCCATCTATGCATGGATTTTTTTCTGGGCTCTCAATTCTGTTCCATTGATCACTGCCATTTTCCTGCCAACAACATGCTGTTTTGATTATTGTAGCTTTGTAGTGTAGTTTGAAGTCAGGGAGTGTGATACCTTTGTCTTTGTTCTTTTTTTCTCATTTTGGTTTTTTTGGGTCCTTTGTGGTTCTACCCAGCTTTGATTTTTTTTTTGTTGTTGTTCTATTTCTTTAAAAAATGGCATTGGGATTTTGCTGGGGATCATATTGAAACTGTATATTGCTTTAGATAATATGGCCATTTTAACTATGATTCTTCCAATCTAGAAACATAGTATATCTTTCCATCTCTTTGTATTTTCTTCAATTTCTGTCAATAGTGTCATGTAGTGTTCAGTGTATACGTCCTTCACTTCCTGTGTTAAGTTTATTTCTTGGTATTTTATCCTTTTTTTTTTTTGCAATTTGGATTGTTTTCTTCATTTCTTTTTCAGGTATTTCATTGTTAGTATATAAGAATGCAATGAATTTTTGTACATTGACTTTGTATCCTTTGCTGTATTTTATTTTTATTTTTATTTTTTAATTATATTACATTCATTATGCTATTACAGTTCTGACTTTCCCCCTTTGCCCCTCTCCACCCAGCACCCTTCACTCCCTCAGGCTGTGCCCCCACCATTGTTCATGTCCACGGGTCATGTGTATAAGTTATTTAGCTACTCCATTTCCTATACTGTACTTTACATTCCCATTCCTATTCTGTAACTACCTATTTGTAATTCTTAATCCCCTCACCTTTTTACCCATTCCCAACACCCCCCTACCACCTGGCAACCACCAAAACTCTCTCTGTATCCACGATTCTGTCTCTGTTCTTCTTGTTTGCTTAGTTTGTATTTTACATTCAATTGTTGATAGATATGTTTTGTTTTGTTTTGCCATTTTACAGTCCATAGTTTTTATCTTTTTCTTAAGTAATCTCTTTAACATTACATATAACAATGGTTTGGTGATGGTGACCTCCTTTAGTTTTTTCTTGTCTGGGAAGCTCTTTATCTGTCCTTTGATTCTAAATTAAATTTTTGCTTGGTAGAGCAATCTTGGCTGTAGGTCCCTGATTTTCATGACTTTGAATATTTCTTGCCAGCCCCTTCTAGCCTGTGAAGTTTCTTTTGAGAAATCAGCTAACAGTCTTATGGGAACACTTTTGTAGGTAATATCTGCTTTTCTCTTGCTCCTTTTAAGATCCTCTCTTTATCTTTATCCTTTGACATTTTAACTATGATGTGTCTTGGAGAGAGCCTCTTTGCATCCATTTTGTTTGTGACTCTGTGCTTCCTGGACTTAAACATCTATTTCCTTCACCAAATTAGGGAAGTTTTCTTTCATTATTTTTTTCAAATAGATTTCCAATTTCTTGTTCTTTCTCTTCTCTTTCTGGCTCCCCTATGATGCAAATGTTGGAGTTGTAGTTGTCCCATGGGCAGCTTATACTTTTCTCATTTTTTGTATTCTTCTTTCTTCATGTTTTGATTGGTTATTTTTTGCTCCCTTATGTTCCAAATCATTAATTAGATTCTCAGCCTCATCCACTCTAGTGCTGTTTCCCTATAAATTGTTCTTTATTTCAATTAGTGAATCCTTCATTTCTGACTGGATCTTTTTTATGCTGTTGACATCCTCACTAAGTTCCTCAACCATCCTTGTAATCAGTGTTTTGAGCTCTGTATCTGGCAGATTATTTAACTCTACTTTTAGTTTTTTTTTTTTTCCTGGTGTTTTGATCTGTTCTTTCATTTGAGCCATGAATTTTTGTCACCTCATTTCAGCAGCCTCCCTGTGTTTGTTTCAGTGTTTTAGGTAGAGCTGCTTTGACTCCATGTTTTGCTAGTATGGCTTAATGGAGTAGGTGTCCTGTAGGGCCCAGTGGCACAGCCTCCCCTATCAAGGTGCGCCCTTTGTGTGAGCTGAGTACACCCTCCTCTTGTAGTTGAGCCTTGGTTGCTGTTGGGAAGTCAATGGGAAGGGTTCATCCAGGCCAGTCAGCTTCAAGTATTGGCTGTGACCACTTATCACCAACCTCCTTGGATTATCTGCTATTCAGGGGCAAGGTGGTGGTGCTCTGATGTGGTCTGTAGCTGTCCACTGAGTGAGCTGGCCCTGGGGTTTCCCAGCTGGTGCAGGCCAAGATCAGCCTCCACCTAGTCTGACCTGGGGCCACCCTACCTGAGCTATAAAGCAATCTGAGATAGCTGCTACTTGTGTTGGGCATGGAGATTCCCAGGCAAAGTGAAGCTGTGAATCTAGTCTGGCTGCTGCTAGTGCCATGCCTGGGGCTCAGGGAAGCCAGCTATTGTTTTAGAGGATTTAGGAAGTTGCGAATCATGAGCCAAGACCAGCCATTCATATGCAAAAACAGCTTGGATGGGCCAGTAAATTGGGTGGGGCAGAGTCTCTGGGGATCTCCAAAGCAGTCAAACAGTGTTAGCCAGGCTGATGGAGTCTCAGATATGGCACCAGCTTGCCAGTTCTTTTGGGGGTGGGGCGGGGGGGGGTTCAGAAAAGGGACAAGGGACAATGGCCTCTGCCTACCTTCCTGTCTGGGAGAAAGCTGTGTCACAGCTCTCGCTTTGATGCCAGACACTTTGGTTCCTCCCCATATGCCACTGGTGCCTTTCAAGCTGCTACGCTGGTGCTGGAGTCCAGAGGGAGTGATTCTGAGTAGGTGAGTCTGTATATCGGTTCTTTAAGAGGAACTGCTTGGGACTCCAGAAGTTTCTTCCACTGACTCAATCCCTGCCGGTTTTTGCAGCCAGAAGTTTTAGGGACTTGTAATCCTGACACTGGAACCCTGGGCTGGGGGATCTGGTGTGGGGCTGGGACTCCTAGCTCCTAAGGTAGCCCTCCCAAATTTTTATCCACCACATGTGGGTGTGGGACCAGCCCATTCCACATCTCCGCCTTACACACCAGTGTGGATGGATGGGGTTTCTTTAATTCCGTAGTCGTCAGACTTCCATTCAACTCAGCTTCTGCTGGTTCTGAGTGATGGTGGTTCTGTGTTTTAGTTGTAATTTTGATGTAGTTGTGCAAAGAGGCGAGCCCTGTCTGCCTATGCCACCATCTTGACCGGAAGTCCTGTTTATAGTTTGATAGTCTTCTGGTGAAGTCTTTAGAGTTTTCTATATACAGAATCATGTCATCTGCAAAATGTGACAGTTACTTCTATCCTCCCAATTTGAGTGCCTTTCTTTCTTTCTTTTGCCTGATTGCTGTGGCTCAGCCTTCCAGTACTATGTTGAATAATAGTAGTGAGGGGAAGTCTAGTCTTTTTCCTGATCCTAGCTTAAGAGCTCATAGTTTTTCAGCATTGAAGGTATTAGCTGAGGGTTTGTCATATGTGGCCTGTAGTATGTTGAGGTACTTCCCTTCTCTACCCACTTCATTGTGTG